AGCCCTAACCATTCTATGATTCTATGAGAGAGGGCCACAGCCCCCCTGCAGCCTGTGGAGATTAATGGTGGAGCAGAGAGACCCACCCGCAGCCCATGGAGAACCCCATGCTGGAACAGAGATGCCTGTGCCTGAAGTAGGCCATAAATAATTGTCTTAGTAGACTGCTGGATACTGACAGTGAAGTAGATATGCATTTGAAGTCGTGGAAAACCCCATGCCAGAGCAGGTGGCATCTCCCTAAGAAGCAGTGACTTTGTGTAAAAATCCCACACCAGAGCAATCTGATGGGTAAGGATTGCATCCTGTGGGAAGGACTTACGATGGAGATGACTGTGGACTGTACCATGAGGAGGGGATCCATTGGAGCAGGGTAAAAGAGTGTAAAGAGTCCTCCTCCTTTAAGGAAGAAGCGCCAGAAACATGTGACAAACTGACCTGCAACCCCCCCATTCCCTGTCCCCCTGCACTGCTGTGGGAGGAGGTAAAGCGCAGAAGAAGGCAGGAGTGGGGGGAGGTGTTTTTAAGATCTGACTTTGTTTCTTGTCATCTTCCCAAGTAACTGATAATCAATTAAAATGATTTGTCCCCAGGCTAAGTCTGTTTTGCCCGGGGCCATGGTCGGTGGGTCCCTCCCTGTTCTTGTCTCGACCCTCAAGCACTTTTGATACCATTTTTCTCCTCTCCACCCCACCAAAGGAGAGGAGTGAGCGAGCAGCTGAGTGGTATCTTAGCAGTTGGCTGGGCTAAACCACGACACCTCTGTCAAAGATTTCAATAATGTGAAAAGGATTAATTAGATATGAAAGATGCAAATAAACATGGAAATGTTACAAACTGATCCTATTTCATAAACACCATCCAGGAGACATGGTGTGGGTTTTTATCTTCAGTTTTGGATAGAAGAGATGCAAGAAAAACAGTAGACTTTGTAAAAAACATGCCCACGTTTTTACTTTAAAATACAAAGTTACCAGGAATACAGACTTAGGGCACTTTATGTACATTAAAAATGTAGAAATGATGAATGCTCTGTCCTGGCACTTCTTACATCTAGGAATTATAAAAAATTTTTCTGTTCTTTCCAGGTCTTGTTTTTGGGTCCCACCGTGCTCCGTTTTTTCTGCTTAAGCCGGAACCTTCAACTCCTCTTACTTCACAGTGATATTAATGATGCTGATATCCTCATAGGGTTTGTCCGTTTTGGGATTGACTTTTACATTTGAGATTCTTTGAACAACTTCCATTCCTTTAGTCACCCGTCCAAACACGCTGTGCTTGTTGTCTAGCCACGGCTGTTTGAGGGCACAGGAGGAGGAAAAAAATGCATATTAAAATAAAGAGCAGCATGTAGATTAGGTAACAAACCAGAAAGAGGCTGACCTGGAATAACTGAACATGGATACATTTTATATGTTCAGACTATGAAACATAACACCATGTCAATACTGGCATGTAAGTAAATATTAGAGCATGGCTAATACATTCTCATATGCATTTAAACTCCCTTTTCAATTGTTTTCTTAAAGTACCACCGAGGTCAAGTTCTAGCAATGCAGTAGCACTGCACAGTTTATTTTGAAGTGTATTCTCAGTTAACAGAAATGCTGTTTCAGTCTCCTTATTCCATGGTATTTTCACAGCTGTACTGTTAAGTGCCAGTCCAGAATACTACTTGATTCAAAGTCGTATTCATACAGTATGCTGAATTAGCAATCTGAATATAGGCACTGATGCAACTTAATAAGCTTCAAAATTATGGTAGATGGGTGCTTTTTAAAAAAAGATGCATGATTTTGAAATAAGTGCTGTAAGAATGCAGTTTCTCTAAGCATTACCTTGAAGAATTTTGTTTTCTGTTAGATTCACATACCAAAATTGCTTTCTTTGGCTCTGAAATTTTACACTGATCAAAGGAAATCTTCAAACCTGAATACTGGCTTATTTGTATAGCTATAATTAGGCAATATTAAGGAGTCATCCTGGCACCACATCCAAAACCTTCACAAAATCTAAGTAATAGCTAGATTTCCATCAAGTTTAAACCAGTGTATTAATAAAAAATACTCTAGTAATACACAGTTGCACACATCTGATTTACTAAGAATTTGGTATCGGCTTTACTCCAGTTAAAGGCCACAGGCCTCTTGATCACACCTGACAAAAATACTTCTCTGTTTCTTAAAGGACTGTTTCAGTGAAGCCTACACAGTATACACCATTGTGTGCCACATTTACTTGCAAAATAACAAGACTATTCAGATAGTACTGTGCTCCTTCTTCCATCAGAAAAACAATATATTTTTACTATGTAGTTAGCATCTCAGGCCTTAAATTGAGCTTTTACTATGACTTACAGTTGGCACTACTGTTATAAAAAACTGGGATCCATTGGTATTTGGTCCTGCGTTAGCCATGCTGAGCGTGTATGGTCTGTCGTGTCGTAAAGTTGAATGAAACTCATCTTCAAATTCTCCTCCCCAAATACTTTCACCTCCCATGCCTGTACCAGTTGGGTCACCGGTCTGAATCATGAAACCCTGCACAGAAATTAAATGTTATTACATCACCACATAGAACAAATAAGCAAAAATGGTTTATGCCAGGTGACGTTTTTTTCTCAACTTACTTCAAACCTTTCAATAAAAGGTGTTACAATGCTGTGGGTAAGGGACAAAGCATTCAAGGCTTCTTTAAGTGATAATTGACTACTTGTGAAAAAAGCAGCTTACTCACTGTTCCTGCTAGTGAAGGACAGAAACCTGACTATCTGTACCTTCTGTGAACACTTAGGCTGCATCAGCTTGATTCTGGTGCAACAGAAATAAGAAGCCTTATGAGAAATGCCTTCTGACATGAAACAAAGTCTTAATTCAAGCAGGGTTGCTGAATTGATCTTGCTCTCAATTTTCAGATTTCTTGCACCTTGCCAGCTGCGGAACAACTATTGGGCAACAGTGATAAAGCTGTTTAGAACCTCAGAGTTGTTCAGACTTTACAGGGAACTCTGAAGCCATTCCAGAAATCCTTTGTGCAAAAGGGAAACGAAAAGCTTAACAGAGGCCTGGCCACAAAGGTACATTATCTAAACTTATAAAAAATTAACTTTTTACAAGTTACCTTGATGATACGGTGAAATATGTGTCCATTGTAATAACCATTTCTGCTGTGCACACAGAAGTTTTCCACTGTTTTGGGGCACCTAGAATCATGCAACAGAAAATACAGGCAACAATAAATATTCAATTGTACGGTGGCAAGGCCATAAAGATTTCAGCTGAGAGTAAGTCCTGTTGTACTGAGCAGTGTTTCAGCACACTGTAGAAAGTGCTTTCATCAAATAAGGAACAAAACAAATCCCCACCTCCTCAAACCTGGAGCTGGAAGCAAAAAACCTTGAGGAGTATGAAGTTGCGTGATTACACAGGAAGGCAAGAGCAGCCTTGACAGCACAGGGATGTTTTCGTTATTGCTGAGCAGTGCTCATGGCCTTTTCTGCTTCTCACCCCACCAGCCAGCAGGCTGGGGGTGCACAGAAGTTGAGAGGGGACACGGCTGGGACAGCTGACCCCAACTGACCAAAGGGATATTCTGTACCATGTGACATCATGCTCAACATACAAAGCTGATGGAAGAAAAAGGAAGGAGAGGGATGTTCGCAGTGATGGCATTTGTCTTCTCAAGTAACGGTGACACGTGATGGAGCCCTGGAAGTGACTGTACACCTGCCTGCTGATGGGACACAGTGAATGAACTCCTTGCTTTGCTTTGCTTGCACACACGGCTTTTGCTTTCCCTGTTAAACTGCTTGTACCTCAACCCACGAGTGTTTTTCGCTTTTACCTTTCCGGTTCTCTCTCCCATCCCATCTTAGAAGAGTGAGGGAGCAGCTGTGTGGGGCTTAGTTGCCTGCTGGGGTTAAGCCACGACAGTCAGGAACCAGATCTATTTCCTCAAAGCCTAGTTCAAGGCATCTCTGACTAGACGCTCCTTCCCTAGCTTTCTACTTATATATTTTTTATTTGAAAAAAACAATTAATAAGTGTATGCTTCATGAGCAGAAAGCTGTTCACTCTTTTACCTCTATCAGTCTGTTAAGCTATATATGTAAGGTGTCCAGTGTTGCACACAAGAAGTAAAAATCTAAAAATACAATGTTTTAATATTATAGAACATGCAGTTAGCAGTCAGTTATTCTCCCTTAAAACTACTCAGAAACATTGTTTGGAAGCAGGGTGAAGAGGTGGAATATTACTGTTGATGCAAAAAAAGGGAAAAAAAACAATGAAATAACCCCTTCACGTTTCTGACTTGATTTTTTTACTTAGGAGAGATTTGCTACGAGTGAAAATTTTTTGCTATAGCTCTTCCACTAGTTTTATAAAATGGATTAGTAGCCAGAGTACATCTACATTGACAGGTTTATGCAGTCACACACATTTTCCCAGCAAATAAGAAAACAGACAAGTCCACAGCGGTAGAGTTACTTTAGCTGTGACAAGGAACATTAGCTTGGGCTTAGTGATATTCTAAACCATCTCGTGAAACAGAGCGCCAGTGGCATAACTAATGGAACAGACAAGATTCTAGTCCCAGTTTCTGCTGTACCATATGTAGTCATTCATAACTTTATTCTACTTTATTATTTTAAAGAGCATACAAACCCACATCCTATATGTTGTTCTTTAATTTTTGAACCACGTTCATCTTAAAGAGACTTTAAATTCAAAGCTCAGCTGGGAGGAAATACTGTAACAAGAAAGGACAAACCTAACAACACCCAAGCCTGGTAATACTAGTCAGAAATAATGTAGCTTAGCCTGTCACTCACTGGTAAGGGCTGAACCATTACTGCAACCTATATGCTACAATTATGAATTCCAGAAACTAGAGCCTGATGGAAGGAGACACTGGTGAAGAGAGCAATAAAAGACTAGCAGCTCTACAGGGTAGAACTGAGGTTGTGTTGCCTCGTCTGTGCTTATGACAAAACATGAACTTGTTTTTGGAAAAGCATGGACTACACTTAAATGGTTTAAGTTGCAATGTCTAGCAATATAACACATTGTATAAATTTACTGTTTCGTAAGAAAATCTTGGAATGTATGAGCATCGCAAAAGAGAGATGCTGACACAGTAACTTTAGCAATTGTCACGCATAACACTCTATTTCAATTATATGCCTGGTTTTGGACATACACGGTGCTAATACTATCTACCGGTGTAAATTCTGTGTAGCTCTTGAAGGAGATGCAGTAACATAAAATGTAGTACAATTGCCACATTTGGAAGTTGCAGACTGTCCTGTTCCTCTGGCTTCCACAGACCTACTGCCAAATCTACTGCTGCTGCCAACATCATCATTCTTTTTCAAGACTGAAGCAAACAACACCGCCTGACAACAATATGTAGCTTACACAGAAGAGCATCGTGACCTATCCACATCTGTAGTTTAGAGAAAGAACAAAAGCTAGGAAATGAATAAACCCCTGAAACAACAATTAAATAAAAGCAAAAATGATTAAAAAAAACCCCACCTGTGCCTCCAAATGTTATTTAGACCTATTTTCACTCTACATTATTTGTGTTTTTCAAGAGTCACATTCCTAGTTTGATGTATTAAGAAACTGTCCGGAAACAAGGACAGTAGAAAAAGGGGAAGAAAAGAATTATTCCTAGCTTGAAATGTAAGTGTTGGATACTGACACCAAAAAGCACAGAAGAAAGGAAAAGCCAAATAACAGAAAAGCTAACAAATACGTACTCAACAGGAAAAAGCTTGATATGAATATCTCCCATGCTTGTGTGGATGATGGCACTGTCTGAAACTCTTTTGGGACCTTCTGCCTGAGTGGCTGCCATGACCTCTTCTTTAGAAGGTTTTTCATTAAACACATCTCTGTCAGAATCCGCACTCTTCGTATCTTCTGGTTCACGTTTAGTAAACTGAAAAACAAAAGAACAGAAGGTTAACTGTTTGATTTTATTTTTTTCCCCTTATCTTACATACTGCTACCCAAGACATCAACGCGACTATTCAACCTGCTAAACACCCAACTAGATTTGAAATGCAGAAAGAGAATTCACAGACCATCTATCCTGGCATTTCGGTGTTGTGCATTACCAGCATTTCCACTCCAGTACAACTACATGCAAATCCAAGTAACTTTTTGTAGTCTGTTATCTTTAAACTTCTTCCCTTTTTCAAAAGAAAGCCCATGTAGTTCAGCATCTCTTCTTTTAAAATAGAGTGGAGAATATCAATGTGTTCTGTTATATTCAGACAAAACTGGCAGGTTTCGTCACAAAACTCTTAGTTTCACTACAAAGTCAAAGTAACTCCTCTTATTACAATACTGCATTAATACAAAACTATAGGAAACCAGCAAATTTAACTCAAACAAAGAGAAATCTCAGAAATTTAATTTTTAAAGTACTTATAGGAAAACATGGAATAAATACACGAGCACATGAGCATCTGCTTAAGTGAGTAATACACATACATATCAAATGATCATCACTAATCTTTCTGCATGCGTATAGTCATGTTTTCTCTAACAACGAATAATGTTTCCGGATTTTGTCTAACTTTTCCTCCTCACTTGTTGACTCCTTCAGAGTAGTACATTCCATTATAAACTAGACACTCACCACAAAAAGCTTTCAAAAGTGTATTATCTTGCTCAAAGAGAAAATATGATCAAATTCAAGCACAAGTAACAACAGACAGACCGATCGCTAACCTCTATGGTGATCACATCCCAGACAAACAACTAACTACTCTGGAACTGTCTGTTTGGCTTTGTCCTGGTTTCACTGGAATAGAATTGTAGAATCAATTTTTTTGTTCAGAGAAGCTACGTTTCTAAAGTAAGTTGTATTTTCAAGCACACTGCAGCACCCAATTCAGTGAGAACAAAGCTGGTAAGATGCCTTGTTTTAGTTTGTAGCCAGCCATGGTATTCATAGTGATCAAGGACTATGGATATGGATAGTGCTCAAGGACTTTTCAACTTGTTTTTGCGAATGACCCAGATGTCCAAGAACTTGGGGGGAGCGTGGCCAGGGTGACTGACACCTAAATTGACAAATGGGTATTCCATACCATGTAACGTCATGCTCACTATACATTGGAAAGTTTCTTGGGAACGGCCTCTCTTTCTCAATGGTCACTGTCCCTGGAGGCTCTCGCCCATCCTTCTACTCCCGACGCCTACTCTCTCTCTCTCTTCCGGGATTGCGGTTTTGGGATTGTCCTGCTCTAGGATTGCTAGCTGGGAACAGGCTGGACATTGGTCAAGGAGTGGTGAGCAACTGCACCGTACATCACTCATGTCTATGTATTATTATTGTTATCATCATTATTATTTTTTGTTTTATTTTGTTTCAATTATTATCTCAATCCGTGGGTCTTCCTTCCTTTTCCCAAATCCCGTTCTTGAGTAGGGAGGGATCATTGGGCAAGAGAACAGCGGGCTGTTGTTTAGACTTGGATATGGGGGCTTATTCACTGCATCTCACCTAAAATCTAAATTGTGAACAGGAGAATGACTCCTGTCTTCATTAGTTGCCCATAATGTTACTTGGTGCTACCAAGTCCCGATGCTGCGCTGAATTTAATTATTTTTTATTACATATTTTATATAGTTAATTATTGTTTCTTTATCAGTATAAGATCTGGTTAGGTTTTTTACATGTTCTCATTTAAGGGTTTTTTTTCAACTAGAACAAAAGTATATACCCTTCTCGGAGAACTATAATTTAGACAGCCAATGCTATCCAAGTTTATTTACCTGCTTAAGCAGTAACGGAAAAATTAAAGACTAAAAACCTGTTTCTAGTCAACTTATACAGCTAGCTCAAGCTAGAAGTTCTAGGATATACTTGCAATATAAAGACACTCCTCTGGAAGAGTTGTGTTTGCAAATACTGAAGAGAAAAAGCACTGGAAAGGTGGAAGAGAAAAACGAAAAATAAAAAATAATGCAGAGAAAAGATCAATACAAGAATTGAGTTATTTAAATAAAAAAGGTACACACCATGTAAAATCTATTTTTTTTAAAAGCCGTGCAGATTACTGTCGGATCTGCCTGGATATTCTGGAGAACGGGATTTTCAGATGCCTTCATCTCTATAGTGATTGCAGCACGATGTTTCTTTGCTACTCCTTGGAACAAAGCTAGTTGCATCACTCTGATGTTCTCTTGTTTTCCCAAGATACGAATACACCTGAAGTACCAGATGTAAAAAGGTTTTAATTACTGTTAGCTGCTCATAGTCAGAGAATATCACCTTTCTGACTGCAAGACTCAAAAGCAAAATTCCGAAACCCTCTCAAAATAATTTACTCATTGTTTTAATACCACTTCTCTATTAAAACTTGCTACGTAGTTTAGTAGACAGCCTTCCTAGGCGATAAAATCCCAACTGCATGATCCACAATTACTTTATGTCATCACATCCAGTTAGCCAGAGATTAATTGTTTACCCATTTTAAACACAAATATGATTGCCATATTTTCTCCTCATTTTACTAAGCTTTAACTGCAATGACTCATTACTAAGCATGGGAGTATCTAAAGTAAGGCTCCCAAACAAGAACAACAAAAAGGTTACAGACCTCCACAGTCATACTAAGTTTTAAATATACTATAAATTTGACTGAAAATAGACTTCGAAACAAACATATTTATCTCAATATGTGTCACTGGAACTTACCTGTTAGTCTCTACATTTATGACCTTAATGCCCAACATTGTTCCATAGAGAACGAAGTGTCCCGTTTCATCGAAAATTATATTAATTAATCTTACGGCATCCACTTTCTCCAGCTCACGCTCAACTGCCATGCGTCTGCCAAACTCCATGTCTGGTAGTTGCTGTCTCATCTGCTGAAGTTCAGTAAACATCTGCAGAAAAAAAAATAAAAAAAATAACTACTATATGAACATATTTTAAATTTTGGTCCAGCAAAACACTGATCTATGTGCTTTGAAAACACAGAATTCAAGTGAGACTACTCCACTCGAACTTAACTGAAGAACTAAAATAAATACAAGTAATACTCTCTTTATTTTAATGACCCAATAGGCACGTTGTAGTATTAGGCTTAAGAAAAGAAAGGGAAGTGTGCAGCTGTCTAACAAAGTTCTTGGAAGATGACAAATTTAATTCATTATTTTGATGTACTTGCAACGGGCATTTTCCATGATTGCTTTCTAGTAAAAAGAAATCTAGCTGCATGAAAACATAGATGAAAATCAACAACTCAGTTTCACTGCCTAACATAAATCAGTAAGAATCAATTCTGGAGCAAAGAAATACAAGAGGCAAGGAAGAGAACATGGAAAACCTTTTCTGCAAGAAAAACAGAACAGTGAAGCTCAGCTTTAGAAACAGGTGGTAACTTAGGTGAATGTGCTGGTAAATAAATCCAAGTAAGTACAGAAGCAAGACCAAACTTACACTCAGAGATTCATCGAAGACTCTCATGAGCTTCCCCGTCAGAAAACGGAAAATTCTAACTTTTCTGTCAGACCCAAGAGTGGCCATTTTCTTGCCATCAGGTGAAAAACTTATACTGGATGGGTAAGCCTTGCATTTAGCAAATTCATATAGATCAGTATCTGTTTTATACTCCCAGTTCACATTCCTGGGAAATTTATACTCATGAGGAGTACCAGTCCAGTATTCGATCATTCCAGATTTGTCTGAAGACACTACTACTTTGTAGACAGGGTTCAACCGTATTTGAGTAAGAGAGGATGTATGGAGTTTATCAAAAACATGAAGTGGCTGGTTGTTTCCTCGTCCATCATATATGAATATTTTTCCTGTGCTCTTCTCAGATGTTGCAACAGAAGATATGGCATCTCCAGGGCAATATACCCATTCACATTGGCCAGGGTAGTAGCTGCAACAAAGAGTAGAAGGAGAAAAAAAATGAAATAAAGACTGGTGTTCCTTAGATAAGAATCAAGTTATACTATAAACTTGAAATCAAACATCAGAACTAAATTTTGAACTTTATTTACTTTATTAGTCTTGCTAATATTCAACAGTGTTATAACCAAGCTTTTCCAAGCAACGCAATTCAGTGGATGGCTCAGCCAATTTCTGTTGCTTTCATATTGTTTTATAAAGAGGCTGTGATAAAAAGCAAAGGTAGGAGGAGGGTAAGAAGAATAAGGACGGAAATCCAGTTTAATAGCACCAGTGGCATTAATGACTACTACTCACCTTCTATGACTCAATAGCATTTCTCTTACTTCTGTTACAGAATCATAGAATGGTTTGGGTTGGAAAGGACCTTAAAGATCATCTAGTTTCAACCCCTCTGCCACTGGCAGGGACACCTTCCACTAGAGCAGGTTGCTCAAAACCTCATCCAACCTGGCCTTAAACACTTCCAGGGATGGGGCATCCACAACTCCTCTGGACAACCTGTTCCAGTGCCTCACCACCCTCATTGTAAAAATTTCTTCCTCATATCTAACCGAAATCTCCCCTCTTTCTGTTTAAAGCCATTGCCCCTTGTCCTATCACTACACACCCTTCTAAAAAATCCCTTTCCAGCTTTCTTATAGGCCCCCTTCAGGTACTGGAAGACTGCTATAAGATCCCCCCGGGAGCCGCCTTTTCTCCAGGCTGAACAACTCCAGCTCTCTCAGCCTGTTTTCACAGGAAAGGGGCTCCAGCCCTCGGATCATCTTTGTGG